ATTTTTATATATACTATATTGACAATATGATCATTACATTATGCGATCTGACACCCAGGACACCCAGCTCACCCCTTGCCTGGGAGCACAGGATCTTTTTGGGGCCCTGGACCTGCACAGGGCTTCTCATCCTTCAGCCCCAGGCTCATCTCTCTCCATTGCTCACCTTCACTTTTCCTTTAAAACCCCAGCTTTAGGGCTTTTCTCTCCCCCTCCATCACTGCACCAACCGCCCACATTATGCGATCTGACACCCAGGACACCCAGCTCACCCCTTGCCTGGGAGCACAGGATCTTTTTGGGGCCCTGGACCTGCACAGGGCTTCTCATCCTTCAGCCCCAGGCTCATCTCTCTCCATTGCTCACCTTCACTTTTCCTTTAAAACCCCAGCTTTAGGGCTTTTCTCTCCCCCTCCATCACTGCACCAACCGCCCTGGCTGAGCAGCGCGCTCTGGACCGGGCTCCCAGAAATCGTCGTGCTTTGTGCCCGCGTTTGATAACGCACCCTGCTATACATTTTGATTACATTACAAATACGATTACTATTAAGCTACTATAGGTCTGCCAGCAGTAATCCCGCGCTGACTCACTCCAGATGCCGGAGATGCTGTGGGAAATCGCTGCTCCTGCCACATTTTGATTACTGCGCTGCAAAGCCGGTCCGCGGGCTTTAAATACGCTGAATGTGTTCGGTAAATGAAATTTCTGGGATGATATTAAAATGTAATCCTCCTGGCAAGCATTGTCACCGTGCTGACGGACTCTGCTGATTCCCCCCCCCCACTGCTGTGTACCTGGGCATTTCCAGTCACATTTGGTCAGCGGCCGGGCAGAAATTGCTTTAAAGTCCCCTTCCCCACTCCCGATTTGTCCAAACTCAATTGCACGCCTGTTGCAAACCGTATTTGCTGCGGTTTCTATTGGGTTTCACTCCTTACTCAGGCTTTTGACCAAGAAAAATGAATTATGAGGAAAAAGCGCAGCACTTTGTTATTGAATCCTAATGGACATTACGGGTGGGGGGCACGGAGGGGCTGGGAAATCGCATTTAACCCATCGGCAGCTCCCGACGAAAACACCCCAGGATGCAGGCACCGCATATCACCCCCATCACACACAGGTTTGGTTCATGGAGGCACTTTTGAGGCAAACAGGACAAGTTCCCTGCTAAGGCAGGAAATACATGGCTGCTTTTGCACTCGTAGTGATGTGTATTCAGAAAAGAAACACAAACAGAATCTCAGAATGGAAATAAAAGCAAAGCTAAATTATACAACCAGGGCAGCCATCCCTGCAGCAGCATCCACGCAGCACCCGAGTAATTGGTGACGCAGGTTTCCAGTGAAACCCAGCAACCAAAACCTCATTTTCAAAGAACCAGACCCCCACCCTGTGCCCGGGGTCCCGCAGGGTCCCAGCGCTCACCATGGTCTGGAAGCAGGAGTGGAGCTGGGTGAGGAATGGGGGCTTCCCGGACAGGGCCAGGACGCGCTTCTCCACCATGGTGCACTCCACGTCGTCGTCCTGGATCACCACGTCCTTCTTCAGGATCTTCACGGCATACAGCTCGTCCGTGCCCTTCCGCTCTGCCAGCATCACCTGCAGGGAGAGGGGAAAGGGAACGGGGGCTTACCACGAAAATAATGGCTTGGTTGTCATCCTGCGGCTCCCTTTGTAACCTTGAAGAGGGATTGAGGTGCCAAATGATGCGGAAAGCTTCCAGAATTATTTAGGAACCCTAATCCCATCAAGCAGCACAGCCGATTCCTTGCCAACCCATCACCTCGAAGCCAGCCTAAGGGGTTTGCTGATGTCCAAGCCACCAATCGCCTTGCACCGCCTTCGCCCCCAGTTCGGCACCCACGGGGTGCAGGGAGCATCACTGGAGGACATCAGTGGCTACAACAGGGAGATTATTGAAGGATGAAGTGGTAAAAACTTACAGTGGAAAAGACTCAGTATACAGCCAACAGTAAGAAAATATTTCCTTATTATTGCTTTCCTCTGCCTCATACATCCCCTCCAAATCAAAACCCAATTCCATGCTCATCCATCACCCGCCCAAAGCCCCTCTCATCCAGAAGAATCCATCCAAACTCCCATTTTAAACCAGTTTCACCCATCTGTGGGTTTATTTATTACAAGAAATGGGATGCGCTGATGCTGCTGGTGCCAATTTCCCTCATTAATCCCATCAGCCTCGGTGAGGATCCCCACACTGCTCCACCACGCTCCTGCAGCAAGAGCTGCTCCCTGGGCTGTGGGCGAAATGAAAGGACTCTGAAACCCCCCTTTGCTTCCCGTTTTCCTTTCATTTTGTTGGAGCCCAAGGATGGGGACAGGGCAGGGGACAGAGCATGAGGATGGGGACAAGGCAGGGGCTCGCTGTGCCAAGGGCTGGCAGGGGCCGGCTCCGGCATCCCCGGTTCCCATGGTGACGGCAGCGCGGATGCAGCCAAAATCTCAGGAGAAGGACGGGGACAGCCGGGATGTCAGGAGAAGGATGGGCACGGGTGAACGGGCTTCAGCAGTGACACAGCCAGTACAGAAAAAGATTGGGACCCATCACACTGTAAATACACAAAGATTCACGCAAGGAAATGCGGGTTGGTAACGTCCGGAGCAAGACACACATCGGTGCAGGAGGGAGCGTGCACCCCCAAACCTTGTCATGGGCACCCAAACCTTGCCATGTGCCCAGCTCTGCAGATCTGAGACCCCATCTCAGCCCGAGTGCTTCACTCTCACACCAAGAGAGCAGGGAAAGCATTTTACATCTTGCAGGCTATCACAGGACATGAAAACCGTCTCCCACCGCGCTCTGATCCATAACCGCAGAGGCAAAAGAA